GTTGTCGATAGTTACGTTAAAATTAAGAAAGATAGGTTAAACTATTGCAGACAAAATCAGAAAACTCTGCGTAGTGAAACATATCAAGGTTTAGTGGATCACTTACAGCGACGTGCGAATGATAATCATGGCCATGTAGGAAAGATGGTAATTCTCCCATCGACATTCACAGGTTCGCCCCGTAATATGCTACAAAATTATCAAGATGCAATGGCTATTGTAAGGAAGTTTGGTAAGCCCGATTTGTTTATGACTATGACTTGCAATCCTAATTGGATTGAAATTAAGGAAAACGTTTTATTAGGACAAATGACATCTGATAGGCCAGATATTGTGTCGCGAGTTTTTGACATTAAGAAAGACGAACTGATCAAGACCGTTACGAAGGAAAATTTGTTTGAAGTTTTAGCATATGTATATGTAATTGAATATCAAAAACGTGGTTTACCACACATGCATCTGTTAGTAAATCTAAAGCGAAACAGTAAGATCGTTACCCCGGATGCTGTTGATCGATATATTTCCGCAGAGATTCCGGATCAGCAAAATGACCCAACTCTCCACGAAATAGTTTTGAATGATATGATCCACGGACCATGTGGTAATTGGTGTAAAGATGAGAAAGGAAAATGTACAAAAAAATTTCCAAAAAAGTTCCAAGAAATTACATCGATGGATGAAAATGGATATCCTACATACCGTCGGAGAAATACCGGTACTTATCAACGTTCTCGCGGACAAACGACTGATAATGCATATGTTGTGCCTTATAATCCTTATTTGTTGAAAAAGTTTAGATGTCACATCAACGTAGAGGTGGTTTCAAGCATTAAATCAGTAAAATATTTATATAAATATGTATACAAGGGCCATGATTCTGCTTCAGTTGTCGTGAGCAACAGTGACAATCACAATGAAATTCACCATGATGAAATTCGAAATTTCATAGATACACGATATGTATCTCCGGTTGAAGCATGTGATAGAATATATGGTAGACCTATACAGCACAGGAGTCATTCAGTCATACGATTACCCGTTCATTTACAAAATCAACAAAACATAATTAGTAATGATGTTGACAATGAAGATGGTATGAGAGCTGCATTAGAAAAGACAAGTATGTTGACTGATTTTTTCTCCTTAAACCAACGAGATTCTGAAGCTAGGAATTACACTTACGGGGACATTCCTTCCCATTACGTTTTCGAAAAATCGACTCCTTCAAAACAATATATGTGGGAAAAACGTAAAACACATTTCAACGTGATTGGACGTATGTATTCAGTGAGTCCAACTCAATTAGAACTATTCCACCTTCGATTACTTTTAATAGCGGTGAAAGGTGCTACCAGCTTCGAATCCCTAAGAACTATTAACGGTCAATTATATGATACGTATCACGGCGCATGTTTAGCATTGGGATTGATTGAAGATGATGAAGAATGGGATCGTGCTTTGACTGAAGGAGAAATTTGGATGATGCCACGTCAACTGAGACATTTATTTGCACGTATTCTGAAACATTGCCAGCCAAATCATCCAGAGCAGTTGTGGGAGAAATTTAAAGCTTCTTTGTCTCAAGATTTTCAACGGAATCACAATGAATCTGAATCTCAGAAGCAAGCATATGCTCATATTAATGCACTTCTTATTAACGAAGGGTCAAGTATAAGCAGCTTTCCGACAATGCCACAATCAAATGAATGTGAAAACAACATCAATGATGACGAGCAAATGTCAAATGAAACACATAGGAGGATCGGTCAAGATCAGTACGATCGATTAAATATAAAACAGAAAGAAATCGTTGATAAAATTTTAAATATCGCCATGTCTGCTGAGCAATTATCATCTTCCTGTTTCTATATCGATGGTCCCGGAGGTTCAGGAAAAACGTTTGTTTATACCACTTTATATCATTTATTGAAAGCTCAAGGAAAATCTATTTGTACAATGGCCTTTACAGCCATCGCAGCAATACTACTTCCTCATGGAAAAACACTGCATAAAACTTTTGGTATCCCTGTTCCAATATTTCCAGACTCGGTTTCTAATATAAAAAGTCAATCGAAGGATGCAGAATACTTGAGAAATGTTGATATTTTTATTTGCGATGAAGCACCTATGGCAATCTGTCTGCAATGGAATTAATTGATCGAACATTACGGGATTTAATGAATAACAATTTACCCTTTGGTGGAAAAGTCATGCTGTTAGGAGGAGATTTCAGGCAATTACTACCAGTTACCCCAAATGCTACGAGGTGTGAATTGGTTAATTCGTTAATTAAATTCACTCCTTTACGGAAATATTTCACAATATTTTCATTGTCACAAAATATGCGCGCTTTACCTGGAGAGTTCGAATTCGCTGAATATCTATTATCGCTTGGTGACGGTAAATTGAATGATAAGGATAATAATGTCGTGCCTCCGGAACAATGCATAGCTCCAAATACTGATGATATCGTAGATGTTATTTATAAAAAACTTATTGATGAACGTCGATTTGGAGACCTAGCGAAAACCGCCGTCCTGGCTGCCCGAAATGTTGACGTCGATGAAATTAATTGTAAAGCACTCGAACTTTTAGGTGGCACAACTGAGCGTATTTATACAGGTATTGACAGGGTAGAAAATTGTGATAACGGAGATATAAATGATGCGATTCTACCAGAATACTTGAATACACTTAATCCTCCAAATTTTCCACCGCATGAGTTACGATTGAGAACAAATTCTATTGTTATGTTATTACGAAATTTGAGTATAAATGAAGGTTTATGCAATGGGACCAGATTGCAAATTATAGATGTTTCAAATACTCTCCTACGATGTCGGATATTAACTGGAGACAAATCGGGAGATATTGTATTCATTAATCGGATAACATTATATTGTGAAAATATTTTTCCTTTCACTTTCAAACGACGACAATTCCCAATCAAATTAGCTTTTGCGATGACAATTAATAAAAGTCAAGGGCAAACATTTGATAAAATTGGCATCGATCTCCGCAAAGATGTTTTCAATCATGGACAACTGTATGTTGCATTTTCAAGAGTTCGTTCATGGGAATCTTTGGGAATTTTCATCGGCAATAAAAGAGAATCTAATCTGGTAAAAAATTATGTGTATACTGAGTTATACAATTAATATATGTACAAACGATTTTCTTCGAAAGCGATGCTTCATTTAATCTCATTTCGCAATTTTCAATTTTTGTCGGCCCGCATCATGCCAAAACTGTATTAATGATTTTAAATTAATGAGCGAAACTACAAACGAAAATTTTGATGGTACAATCATGTACTAACGATGTACAATCGAGGACATTTGATCATTTTAGCAATGATTGCGCTTTGTCGGCTAAGTACCTGGAGGTAAGGAATTCGAGCTCGAAATATCTCAAAATATCAAATGAAGGTAAGCGTAAGATCCGTAGGACGGGAACCGACACGCCACCATGCGAGAAGATGAGAAGGCGCGTGCGTAGCACGCGCGGCCAATCTCGTGTTACTAAAACAGAGGACGTACCTGTAAGTCAAATAGGTCGCGAGCCCAGAAATGTTGATAATTCGAGAAGACCGATGATGTCCGGAAATAAACGAGAGCAGTATGTAATTAGCCGCAAATAATCAACAATTACAAAAACGAACTCATACAATCGATTGTAAATCGTTCGCAGGTGATTGTGAAAAAGGTCATAATGTTTAAGAGTGGATAGTTTTTTTATAAAAAATAAAAAACTTATGACCCATGTAGTTAGCCGCATTTTTTTTTCTAATCACTCTTAAATGATTTTTTTTATTGTAATTGTTTGCAATTCGTTTGTAAATACTATATTCATTTGAATCGACGTTTAAGAGTCATTAGTCTGGAAATTATCAGCAATAAACGTGATTGCAAAATTGCGTGGAGGGGATAAGATTTTGCAAGTACGACGGCGCATGCGCAACTATTCAGAGGATTTTTCTGTTATACGTTCAAAAATAGATTAATGTCTTTCTCACTTTAATTTTGAAAGATTTCACTACGGCTGTCTTTTAATTGAACATTGAGTGACACATCGAAACCATTGTACTTTTGTAAGTACATTAATAATTATAATAACTTGTTCACTAATGGGTGACATTTGGAGAGCAATTATCGTTTGAGTAATCCCTGGTTATTCCCACCCAAGCTTACAGCTTATGCTGTGAATTTCATAAACCCAGTTAGGGTTGGGCAAAAACCTTGAATTCAATCCTTACGTTTTTTTGTTAAACAGAAGTGTTAAACCAATGTCTCATGACAAATGTTATGGGGTTCTGTCAGCCCATATTCTGCTTGGGTGGCTCGTTTTTTAAACCATGCTTGATAGCGCTTCTGTTATAAATTGACTTTGGATAAAAATAATTAATCGATTTTTTTCCCAATCAGGATTTTTGTTGTGTTTATAAATGAATAATCCATATGAACTACTGCCTGTGATCCTAAATTGCCTCTCTTCCTGCCATCGAGAATGAAATTCTCGTGGCAGTGGTGGTCTCTTTACAAATAAAATATTCATTACTTGATAATCGATCATTCATCTTTCTGCAACAGTCTGGTAGAGAATTTACAACGACTTTTTCTAAATCTGTTAGAAACTGTGATGTAGCCTGATTATCGAAAATTGCCTGCATCTTGATTGCGTTAATGCTCAGGGAGTTATCATGTTTTTCAAATGCTTCATGTCTTCCAGCTCTATAATGGACAAATAAAGAAAAAGGACAAGGTAGAAAAACCGTGGGAAATCGGCCAGATTTAAAAATGAGTACAAAGCATTGTAAAAAAAAAAATATATTTTTTCTGTTACGTAGTATTGTTTATAAAAAAAAAGTATAAAAAATAAAAAAAAACCAAAAAGTTGCTCATCATGATTGCAGCTAATGGGTAAAAGCATTCAGTTTTCCTGTACAAAAATGTTAAAAAATAGAGATATGAGGGAATCAATTGAAAAATAAAATTAATAAATTACATATGCATAGCCAGGGCAGATCCTGGCAGATTTGATGTCATAATCTCTCTCAGACGCTGCTCATCTTCTGGAGACAATTTATTTTCTTTCTCATCAATCGCCCTAAGTATTTCCTGATTGCCATCATCTCCTAATATCTTTGTTTTCTTCGATGTAAAACATTGGTGCTTGCTTAGCGGCTGTGCATCATAATTGTCCGACGACAGTTTGCAAGGTGCACTCCAGACACACTTCTTATCTGTACAGCTGATAAATTTCAGTTCTTCCAAATTGTTTCTAAAAACAAAACATGAAAATATCATCATTTCAATTATTAATTTACACCGATAGTTGATAAATATAAACGATAGTTACCTGTTCCAATAGAGTAGCACTGCGACAGCATGTTTACATGTGCCGCTGTGTCCAGCCTTACAGCTGCATTTCATCTCAATTACTTGACCACTTTCATTAATTTTCCCACTGATCTCATGTGGATTTCCTTTCAGATGAGATGTTTGCAGACAAGAAGCAAGAATTGAGTGAATATCTGTCGACAAACTATCATTACCAGTTACTCCACATTGAATGACATGTCCTGCCTCAAGCAGTTTTTCCCCTTCGATTAAATTTCGACTACTCGGCTGAGCTTCAGCAAATCTACATAATTCTTGAAGAGACACTTTCATTTTTACCCCACTTTGGATTCTTCACAAATATCCAACCGTTTGCACCACTGTACTTCAATTTTTAATCAATTTACTCCAGTTGTACACTATGCGAACTGTGTTGACGCATGGACAGTCATCTGCTCGCGTCTGTTTTAAATTCGGCCGCCAGGCTACCGAGCCATAAGCCACGCCTCCCTTAGAGTTTCCAATACGATATAATGCGGAATGGAGGTATGATGGAGAAACCACCGATTACAAACGAAAAATGATTTCACGGTAATAAATTTAAAGTATCTTTACCAAATTGTTAAAAATCGTTTGGCAAATGTATACTCAAACAGTTCAGAATCGCCTGAAATGTCGAGATTTATTAGTCGCTCGAAACCTTTCGTTATCAACAGTTCTATGTTTGTTGACAAATTCAAAAAAATTTCGAACAAAGAGGGGCAAAATGTTCTAAATGTATAGTAAAACGATTGAGAATCACCTGAAATCTCAAGATTTATTGATCCCTCAAAACCTTTTTTTAATAACGTTTCCAATTTTGTGGACAAATTCAAAAAATTGTTAACCAAGTAGGAGAATTGTTTCGCAAATGTATACTGAAACGGTAGACAATTGTCTGGAACATGGAGATTTATTGGTCGCTCGGAACCTTTTTTTAACGGTTCTATTTTTGTTAGCTAATTTCAACATTATTGAACAAATGCGAGAACAATTTTCTAGAAAATGCATGCTAAACCGATTGACAATTGTGTAAAGCGTCGAGATGTGGTTCTTCACAACCTTTTTGTCTCATCACTTCTATTTTGGTTGACAAATTCGGAACTTGTTTAACAAATTGTGAAAAAATCTTTACGCAAATGTATACTGATACGCTTGGGAATCTTGCTGGTTCAGACGATTGTCAATCGTTTGAGCATCAATTCGGGAAACCCCCCCCCCCCCCCCTTTGTTATACAAAAAAGAACTCGTTGAAAGAAACAGGTTCAGAGTGAACAATGCATCCCAAGGTTTTATACCATTCTGAGTCGCTTGAGCCTCAATTTGCGACAAAACTTTCCCCCCATTTGTTTAGCAATTTTTTGGATTTGTCAATAAAAACAGAACCATCGAAAAAAAGGTTCCACGGGACCAATAAATCTTGGTGTGTCAGGTGATTCTCAATCGTGTCAGTATACCTTTGCCCGACGATTTTTTAACAATTTGGTAAAGAAATGTCACATTTATGACAATCGGTTGTTTCTTCATCATACCCCCACTCCGCAAAATATTGTATGTCTTCGTTCGTTTCCGGAGATCATCGGCCTTCCCGAATTATCGACATTTTCGAGCTCGCGCTCTGCCTTATTCATACTCACGGCCTCCGATAATTGTCACACTCTTTCGTTCGCGACTTATTGGACGTGCAAGATTAGTTCGGCCAGTACCGCTAGGAAATTTTGCCGTTGAACCTTCAGCACTGGCGTTAGTAATCTCCCCTATAATCTCTTCCCAAAAACTCTACGAAATGAATGAAAGTGGTTTAGCGGTGCGCGAAATTTGACTGCACGTCAGGTAAAGCTTTAATTTTATTGTTTTTTCCGTCAATCAGAGTGGTTCACTAAAAAGTGTTTCTTTTCATAGAAGAAAGAAGTAATGTAACCTTTACAGTAGTAATAGCTGCTGTAATAATCGATAATTCTAAAATTCTAAAATTCTAAAATTCAAAAATTCAAAAATTCAAAAATTCAAAAATTCAAAAATTC